TGGTCAGACCCTGCAGAGACCAGGCAGCCCATGGCTAATGAGGGAGCCAGGCCCAGTGGGGACAAGTCTGACAGGGCCATTTGAGTTCCAGAGTTTCTCTGTGGACTTAGCAAGACTGTCTGGTTCTCCCTCTGCTCAAGCGCGCTTTCTTGCGGAAGGACACCCCCTCCCTGATCAGCATCCTGCACACCAAACGCCATCTCAGATTCCGATTCCTGTGACAGGGCCAAAGGCAGAGAGCCCCCAGGGACTTCCAGAAACACCGTGGTACCCACCCTCCGCCCCAGCAGGACCGAGGGGGGCAAGAGCTTCCCAGAGAATATGCCTGGCCCTCCTCTTCTCTGGTCTCCGCAGCTAGGAGCCGCAGCCCTAAGGGCAGGAAGGGTGCACACCGGGAAGGGTCAAGGCTGGGGCTCCCCAGGGAGGGCCTCCAAGAAAGTAGGGCTTACAGGGCTGCCAGGTCGGCACTGCCTGGCTTCCCCACGGAGGGGTGGCTCTATGAGAAAAGATAATTTCACATTTCTGCCCCAGGTCACAGAGCAAGTTAACAGAGTCACATCAGCGACCTGGGCGTCTGGATTTCGAGTCCAGCATTAATTTAAATGTTAATCTGAAATCTTCACTTAAATCACTGGAGTTTAGAGTTCATTAGACCAGCCAGCAGGAGTGGAGCAGCAGCACGAGATTGGCAGGTCACATTCCTGCCAGAGGGCAGGCCCTCCTCCCAGCTGGGCCCGGCACCAGCCTTCGCCATGCTGCCTGCCTTGCGTCCTCTCTCCCACCTTCTCTTTCTTGGAGGGAGATTTGGAGAAGGCGAAGGATGGCCCTCCGTGTCCGGGCAGAGGGCTGGAGCCATCTCCAAGTGGCCGGTGAGAAGGAGCAGGGGATGTAGGCATCACATACCTGGGCATCCAGGTGCCACAAGGTTGAGGCCAACACGTGGGGATACCGTGTGCTTCCTTGTGGAACTGGGCTCTGTAGGGTTTTCAATGGCTGATATTTTGGAAATAATTCTCCGGTCCTTTCTTCTGAGGCAACTCTGAGTAGACCTGAACCGCCAGCCTTTCGGTGAACAGGCAAGTTTGTTAACTCTTTGCACCATCCAGGGCCTCCCATGACATCACACGGGGGTGTTAGCTGCCATTGAACTGTGACTCTAAACACAGTGGAAAAAAACACTGCCCAGCTGTTCGCCACCATGGTGATCCATAGGGTTTCACTGGCTGATTTGTAGAAGTAGGTCACCAGGCCTTTCCTCCTAGTCCATCTTAGTCTGAAAATTCTGTTAAAACGTGTTCACTATCACTATAGATGACAGTGGAAGCCCCAAATCCATTTGCAGGGTCGTCACATGGATGAAGCCCCTGGTGAATCCCGACTGACCATCGTGGAGATATATGAGTAGCCTTGCTCTCAGACAGAGAGCATTGTAAAGTTGAATATGGCAGACACTGTTAGGCTAAAATGTAAGACCTTGTCATTGGATCTTCCTTTTGACCCATTTAAATGGGTCTTTTAGAAAGAAGCCCTGATGGCGTAGTAGTTATGAGTTAGGCTACTAATCACAAGGCTGGCAGTTCGAAGCCAGCAGCAGCTCTGCGGGAGAAAGAAGAGGCTTTCTACTTCCATAGTTAGAGTCTCAGAAGTCCATTAAAGCAGTTCTATTCCATCCCACAGAGTCTCTCTGGGTAGGCATCAACTTGATGTC